AGGGGTGTGTGTGTGTGTGTGTGTGTGTGTGTGTTGTTGTTGTTGTTGTTGTTGTTGCTGTTGTTGTTGTTGTTGTTGTTGTTGTTGAGGTTACTTGTAAAATATGTTCCTGGGGGTGGGTGGCATTGAGTGACAGACATCTTCCAATTGATGATCTGTAAGCCTAGTTTATGTGATCTGAGTCCTAGGCTTGCTTACATGAACCTGTGAACAATGACCATTTCTAACATCCACAAGTATCCACCAGGCACAGAAAAACTCAGTGTTTTTTAAACTGGAAAACAATGACAAACAATTTCAGGAAGATTTTTCCATAGATATCATTACCAACTGACAAGACTCTGTATACAAAGAATACCATACCTCCATGATTTCGCAACTGGTTTGACATAATTGACCTTTGGAGGGTCGCACACTTTGCTGTGGGGCTGCCCTGTGTATTTTAAGGTGTTTAGTGGCACCTCTAGCCTCTACCACTAGAAGGCAGCAATGCCCATCTAGCAATGACAGTCAAATTTCTACAGAGCCAACAGCTCCAGTTGAGAAAGACTGCTCCAGGAGATCTCACCAGAGCTGCTAGTCTCTGTCACATAAGATGAGGATGTGGAGGTGACTTCTGTCCCAAGCAATTCATTAACTCTGCAAAATTAATGACAGGTGAGAAAAATAAAAATTGGATTCAATACAATCCTATATTGAAAAGGAAATTTCAATTGGTCTAGAATCAGATGAAAAGAAATCTGTGAAAATACTAAAAAATGTGTAAAGAATATAATTTAACTTTGGGATGAAAAAGACCAATGTCTATGAAGCAGAGCTCCTAAAAAGGAAAAGTTCAAATCACTTAACTATGAAACATTTATAACAAAATACTTATGAAATAAGTATATATAACAAGCCAAAGTTTAAAAAGAGAAAGCAAATGTATTAACTAACTTGTAACAAAGTGAAGATCAATATCTACAATAGAGAAAAGGCTCAAAGTAATCATTCTTTGAAATACTGACATGAAACAGGCTAGTGACTCAAAAGGAAATCCACAAAAAAAACCTTAATATTTGAAATACTCTAAAACATCATAGTCTGATTGTAGCTCATGAAATGAAATCTAAATTATCATGATGTATCATCCCATGAGACTGACAAAACTAGAGAGAATTTTGAAATGTTAAGCTACTGAAGGAAGGGCATGGTCATGGTCATGTGTCTACTAGTCTTTTAGGGAACAATTTAACCGGATCTTACAGGATATATAGTACACATAACACATACTTTTTGCCCAGTGTTCTGCATCTGTAAATCCATCCTGTGACAATATTCTATCACATACAAACAACATATATAAAATGCCTTGAAAATATATACCAAACTGTTGATGAAAATTACTTTGAGGGGAACAAATAGAATGTACATATCAATCTATGCACATCATGGCAGTCAATGTTTTACAGAAATATGTATTCTATCACTTTTACTAAATTATATAATTTCATATTATATATGTCTTAAACAGAGCAATGAAAGGAACATGCTGAAGTAGATGGCTTCTGGAATCTGTGATTTTAGTTCTAAAATACTATGACTTCAATTTGGTTTACAAGTAAGTTCCCAAAAGTAACTCACCATCTTTATGTTCATTCCCACAGATTCCTTTAAGGGAAAAAGCAGGAAGGGCAGGTATGGTGACATCTCTGTAACCCCAACGCTGGGGAAGTTGAGGAAATTAAATTATGAGTTCTAGGCTAACCCTGACCGCTGGAGACTCTGTCTTAAAAAACCAACCAAACAAACAAACAAACAAAAAACCAGAAAAGCTAAAATGGAGAAAGCAAACTCTGTAAATCCCTCTAAACCCTCTCCAGCTGTTTGGCTCCTATCTTAGGTGACTACACTGGTCCTCACAGCATTTTTAAATGTCATGTGCTCTCTGATTCTGAAAGGTTGAGTGACTGACCAAGATCACTGGCCTAGGAAAGGAGGGAGCCAGAACACACAATTTAATCAATGTATGGGGGAAATGTGATTTCTGTTCTCTCTATCAGAGTTGTCCTAGTACCTTGAACTGATGGAGAAATGCTACTTTATCTTAGAGTCACTGGGACAGAGAGTGGGGAACGGCCACCGGGCAGCACAAGCCTTATAGCCTGCATGAAGCAAAGCTGCTGAGTGTGCATTCTGTATCAGGTTCTGCATTGCTCTCTGATGCAACCCTCCTGGCAGCCTTAGGAGAGGGTACCCTTACTGTCACGGCTTGCAAATGAGAACACCGAGACTCGGGAACCGTGGGAACATGCCCCAAAGCCATCTATGTAGTAAGCAATGACATTTGCCATGTGACTTCACAACCTGTCTTAACTACTGTATTTAAATGGCGTTTAAATAACCGTGATTTTAAAAGCTGGCCTATGAGAAGGGAGAACTAAACTAAGATGGTAGGTGCAGAAGTGGCTCCAAGATCCACGCTGGGAGGCAGAGATGAAGCTGCCTGCTTTTGGAATGTGGAGTGGTTTCTAACACTTCATTACTGTAACAAAGTCTACAAAGAACTGTAGCACACTTGTGGATATGGCTGAGAAGACAATGGAGTCAGAGCGGGAACCATGCCTGTGCAGGCATGTCTGACAAAACAGGAGACAGATAAGTCATGCCCATTTGCCTGACTGCCTCCGAGTCTCCCTAGAAGTGATCTGTGTGAGAAGGACTGGGGTGTGAGTTTGACTCAACACAATCACTTTAGCCATTTGATCCTTAAGTCATTCTGACACAGATGATACAAGAACCCTGACCATGTGTCAGTCAAATTGTTTCCATGTCAAACATCTGACTAGTTTCAAGGTTACTTGTAATAACTGAAAGAATCACTTTAATAAAAGTCAATGAACACTAATGTGAGAGCCTTCTAGACAGGGTTCTCAGAGGAAAGTTCCTGGACTCACTAAGAAAACCAGAAGGTTGAGGGATCTTTGTTTTATATTTCTTCCTTTCTTCTTTTTTTTTTTTTTTTTTTTTTTTTTTTTTTTTTTTCCGAGACAGGGTTTCTCTGTGTTGCTTTGGAGCCTGTCCTGGAACTGGCTCTTGTAAAACCAGGCTGGTCTCGAACTCTCAGAAATCTGCCTGGCTTTGCCCTTTGCCTCCCACTCTTTTGCTTTTCAATCAGTTAATTGCCATCATTAGTCTCTGCAGAATCCAGAAACATGTTATTCAAAGGTAAGAATTGGCTGACTTGAGCATATTGAAGCAAATATGTGAAGCTTGTATATGTTAAACATATAATAGGTTCGTTTGAAATCCAGAACCCGAAGAGACAAATTGCCTAGCATGCACAGGATCCTGGGCTCAATTTCTTCCCAGCACCAAGAAACAACTCACAAAGCACGGCATAGTTATCTGACTCCATCTTTTCAAGAGGAAGGACACATTGAAGGGACTTTCAGTATGACTGTAATATTAAGCAGTGGCTTAAAATAACTGTTTTTTCTTTACATTGTTTTATGCTTAATAATGTGTATGCATGTGTGTGTGTACTTGGTGTGTGCATGGGTATTGTGTGCGTGTGTGCCTCTCTCTCTCTCTCTCCCTGTGTGTGTGTGTGTGTGTGTGTGTGTGTGTGTGTGTGTGTGTTTAAGCACTGGATAAGGTGTGCAGATGCCCACTGAGGCCAAAAGATGTCAGATTCTCTGGAGCTGGAGATACAGGCGATTACGAGCCACTGAATCTCTACTGAGAGCAGAGTTTAGGTGTTTTAACGAGTGCGGTATGTTCTCTTAACCACTGAGGCATCTCCCCAGGCCCAATATCTAAGTTTTACTCCTGGCTTTGCCTCCATCTACCTTGACAATGCAATCATTTAATTCTGAAATGTAAATGAAAGTCACCTCCTATCCCCATTTGGGCTAAATACAGCATTTTAAAAACCTAAAATGTCAGCTGTGGGAGGCGAAGTTCTCTTGTGAGATCTCATTTTGCATGACTCTACAGCAAGCTCAGTGGGTTCCAAGGAGAGGATGTGGGGCTTGGAGAGGTAGTCCTTCATTCTTGCTTTTTCTAATAGGGTCAAATCACTCATCTCTAACATGTAGTAATCACCAATACTATGGATGAACACTTGGCCAGATCTAGATAAAGACACAGGCTCCCCTCTTCACACCTGCCTAGCTGGTAGTGATGGATGGTGAAGGCTGAGTCATCTGGGCAGACACATTCCCACGGAGTTGTCTTTCCAGCTTTAACTTTGGCTTCTTCACCCACCACATTCCCAAAGTCTACAAACGGGTGCGGCTGCTGTTAAAGCTGAAGAATTGATGGAGAAGTATAGAAATTACCTCTGCATTTTTTTAAGAAGCACAGTCTTTACTTAAACTAATGAATCTTCCTTCTTGTCATGCTCAATTAATAGAAGCTGCTCTTGGCTTACCTCACAGAATGATTAACTGGGACATTTAGCTCATAAAAATTACTAGGCTGCCACTCATTATTTGGGTTACTTCAGGTGATTTGATTACTGGGTATCACTGTCAACAATAACTGGTACCTACAAGCCAAGTTTACGATATGGTATATAAGTATTGAACTAGAGAGAAACAGGGCTAAACCTAGATTGTTTTCTTACAATTAATATTTTTATCCAGCACTAAAAGTAAGAAATGTTCTTAAAGCTCTTGGCATTTCAAATAAACATAACTAGTTCTGCGTTTGATCTTCAGCTATAGGGCAGTGATGACTGAAGCCACCCAATGCAACTATAGAAACTTGAAGCGTGTTTTGCAGGTTCTATGTCTTGCTATTTCTCAAACAAAGATAAGAACTAAGCACAAGGGGGAGGTGCTGCATATGGCCCTTATGTGGTGATGGCCAACAAGTGTTTATGAGCCACATAAAACATGCATGAAACTCCCAATTGCAACAAGGAAAGTTGGGCACACCTAGAAGTGGAAGGATTGGCATTTACAAGATGAATGAGAGAGGAACAGGAGGAGCCAGATGGGATTGTGACATTCAAAGCAATGTTTGCTGCCTACATCATGTTGTTTCATTCCTATACCTAAACCTGCTTTATCTGCTTCAGAGTTTTGCCACTGGAAAATACAGGAAAGCTGTTTTAAACCTACAGGTCCTTCTCCTGACTCTCAATGTAGTTGTCACATCCTTAGGCACAAAGCAAATGCAGATGTTGGACCATGCCAGAAATCTTGTCAAGAGCATGGACTGTTTCACACAGAGTGGAGATATGGCTTCTGATCCTGGTGGCTTATTTACTCCAGAGAAATGTGAACTCAGGACATATGCCAACAAAAGCTGCAGATCCGGAAGCATTCATGAATGTTGTAAGTTGGGGTTTTTCATCTTTGGGGGAAGGGAAGGGTTATGTGTTCATCTTTGCATCTGTGCAGTAGCTGCATGCTGTGTTATTTTTATTATATTGAGGCATTTTATGCTATAACAGTATGCTGGAAAGCAACACACTGAACTGGAAGAAATCTAAACTGGTTGTTGGTAGACCTGGGGGCTTCCCAATCACATTTGGTGGTTTGGGAAGAATGACTTATTCTCTCTGGGCTTTAACAGCTTATTTTTTCCTTGAATTCTCAGATGTACCCACTGGACAAGGAAAGAATTGAAACATGTGTGACCTGTCTTAGATCCTTAATGATTGTCATTCTTTGTTTTCTTTCCTGCTTTGTCCCTTTTGATAAAAGTATTACCCTTGAGCTCTTGCTGTGAGAGCATATACTTCTACTAGCTTCTACTCCCATCCTGCTCTGGATACTAACTCTGCCAACTGCAGTAAGAGGTCCCTGTTTGTGCCAGAGAGGATGTGTGAGTAGCATGTTCAGAGAATAATACATCTCTTCCAAAGTCTTCCGGGGAAGTTTTGTGTTTGCTTTCAAACACCAAGCTGGTTTTTAGTACATGATCACCCTGCAGTACCATTTGTTCTGTAGAAGGCATTACAATAAAAGCGGTAGAGATACAATTTCATTTTCAGTATTCTGTCCTGGCAATATGATTATCTCTATTTTTCAAATCAAGGGACTAAGATTGAAAAGGCATTTAAACAAGTTAAACGAGCCCTACGACTGCTACATGGTAGACCTGCAATTAAAATTCAGGCTTTCCTAAATACACGCCTGTAATTATAACCACTATGCAATAAAGCCCTACCATGTGACAGGGTGGAACTTCAGTTTCCAGATGGGTTAGATGATTGTGTTGGATGCTCCTTAGCCTCACCTGATATCCCCATTAAAGGGGGAAATTTAAAGGTTTTGTGAAGGAAGACCCTTTTATAGAAACTTTCTTTTCTTCTAGTGTTTTTGTTTGTTTGTTTGGCATGGTTTCTAAAACTTAACAGTCTATAATGAAAGAGTTTTTTGTTTGTTTTTGCTTTTGTTTTTTTTTTAATGAATCTCCATGGAACTATCAGGGTCCATCTGCCATTCCAATGGCTACTGTCATAGTTTCTAAAACTTACACACTTTAGAAATATTCTGTTGTCCACGGAGTACAGATATCAGGCTTCTTTAAACCATTCTATTGGTTACCTCCCAGAACATGATTGCAGCTCTTCTGGAATCCTAAATGTACCCCACAAGTTCTCCAGCACGTGCAGAGTCACTTTGACAGGGATTGCCTTCCTAGACCAACCCCTGTTAGTGCCCAGCACTTCCAGGATGTTGAACTTCTGCCAGGAACTGGACTCCCACACTGAAGATGCCTGAAATTGTGCTCTATACCAAGGCCACAGAGAAATCTCAGAAAATCAAACACCAGGGCTTCACTTAGCTGACAAATTCTCAAATACTAATCACAAGAATGGGATAAAAGGGAGAAAAGTATAAAACAGGGGAAACTAACCCAGACTTTAGGAAAATATTCCATAGCCTGAAACCAGAAGAATGAATAGGAGGTAGGAAGGGGGATGCTGGCAACGAGGTCAGCATGCTGAGGAGCTGGATCCACAGAGAGCCACATTCTGGATGTGCAGTTGACTTCTAAATTTAGTAACTTCTATTATAAGAGCAGCGTGTGCCCCTTGTATGAAACCTAAGAACTTCGAAGCCAATACTAATAATTAATGCATTAGTACACTGACCTAACCATCAATAGCATTGTAGTGTCCTGTTATTGTCTTCTAAATATATGAAGTTTTTGTTTTCTGAGAAGACTGAGGAACATAATATGCAATTTGCCATTTTCCAACATTTTCTAGTAACAATTTCCTGAGGGTTTTTTTCCCCATTTTTTTTTTAATTTTTTTATTTCATTTTACATTCCAACCCCAATTCTCCCTCCCGCCCCTCTTCCCACCTCCCTTGCCTCCTTCCCTCACCTCCCCCTAGCCCACCCCAGTCCACTCCTATTCACAGGTAAGGATACCCTTAAGGAGTCAACACATTCTGATACAATAGGTTGGAGCAGGGCTAGGCTCCTCTCCCTTGCATTAAGACTTAGCATGGCATCCCACTATAGGGAATTGGGCTCCAACAAGCTAGCTCATGTACCAGGTTTGTATCGTGGTTCTACTTCCAGAGGCCCCTCTGATACTCCAAGCTTCACAACTGTCTTTCACACATGGAGAGCCTAGTTTGGTTCCCTGGAGTTTCCACAGTTGTAGGTCTAGGGTTTGTGAGTTTCCATGAGCTTGGTTCAGCTGTCTCTGTAGATTTCTTCATCCTGATCTTGACCTCCCTTGCTCATGTAGTCCCTCCTACCTCTTTTCACCTGGATTCCTGGAGCTCCGCCTGGTTCTTGGTTGTGGATCTCTATGTCTGATTCCATCAATTACTGGATGAAGGCTCTATGTTGATAGTTGGGGTATTCATCAATCTGATTACAGTTCAGGCATCCTCTCTACTATTGCTAGGAGTCTTAGTTGCGGTCCTCCTTGTGGATTCTTGGGAGTTACCCTAGCACCAGGTTTCTCCCTAAGCCCATAGTGGCTCTCTCTATTTAGATATCTTTTTCATTGTTCTTCTACTGCATCCCTCCCTACCTAGGCCATCTCATTCCCCCACATTCTCATCCACCACCACCCCTTTCTCTTGCCTCCCCACCCCCAGTTTGCCCTGTAGATATTATCTAATTTCTCTTCCCAGGGTGATCCATGTGTCCCTCTTAGGAGAATCTTCCTTTTTATCTGGCTTCTCTGGAGCTGTGGACTTTAGTCTGGTTATCCTTTGCTTTATGTCTAATATCCATTTCAATTTCCCAAGGTTTTAAGTAAACTCGAAAAACATTATTCAAATTTCTGTATCACATTCTACTTTGTGGTGTGCATATTTGTCCCAAACATGTTTTAGAGCACGATTCCTATGAAGATGTTTATGAAGAATTCTGGTGGCTGGGTATAGTGGCACATACCTGCAGTCACAAGCTTCCAGGGAAAGCACAGGGAATTCTTGACTCCACAATACGGCAATACACACAAACACAAAACACAATGTTTCTAAAAAAAAAAAAAAAAAAAAAGAACAACCAACAAAGGATAAACATCCTTAAACCAATATTATTTTAATTCATATAACTGATTTTTTTCAATCAAGTAAAAATTTTAAAATAGATAACTAGGTTGAATGTTAAACATTAAATATGGTTACAAGTTTTAATTTACACTTAGGAGGGCAGAAGTATTCCAAGGTCAAGCCCATCTTAGACTCTACATTGAGGCTCTGACTCAAAATGCATATCCATATGTGTGTTAATACACACACACACACACATACACATACACATATATATAATATATACATGTATATATATTATATATATATATTGATATATGTCCCTTCAAAAATGGTTATGCAGCTGAGCATGGTGGTACACACGTTTAATCCCATCACTCAGAGTTCAGAAGTAGATGGATCTCTGTGATTTCAAGGCCAGCCTAGACTGCATAGCAGGGACATCCAGGGCAACACAGAGAAAGAGACCTTGTCTCAAAACACAAAGGAAAAATGGTTATAGTACACATCTTTATAATATGTTGGATCTGTATTATTATGTAGGCAAATTTGTGTTTTTCTATTATCCTGTGTAAGTTCTCTTGCCAAATATAGTCTCCTGACCACCTATTGACAATGTTTACTAAGGTATGATCCTTTTTTTTTCTAAGATACCCATGTCCCTAACCTCCTAGGTTCTCTCAAGTAGTTCCTATTCAGCTCAAATTCTCTCTCCTCCATAAAACTATGCCTAACTGGTCCTGTTCACAGATCTCTCCCTGCTCAGAATTCCTTCCCTCACATCCGTCAGCTGTTATTTACACCTAACCCATTCTCCCCATAATGAAATAGACCTTCTCAGAAGCCCTCTAACACTTCATATATGTATCTTATATCTCCCACTTGTCCCCAACAGAAAGTCTGGAAGACAGTCTCTAGAACAAGCAGCTTCTTTAGTATCGGAAGCTTGTTAGAAATATCAGTGCCAAGTTTTATTGTATCTTGTTATGCCATATTCAGTTGATATCTCTGGGAGGCTTGCTCTTATTTCAAAGGGAAATGGAGGAGGGGGGTGGATCCAAGAAAGGAAAAAAGTTGTGGGGAGGGACTAGGAGGAGTGGAGGGACTGGAAACAAGGTTTGGGATGTAATGTATGAGAGAAGAATAAAAAAATAAATAATGATTTGGGTCCACCCCAGACCTGCCAAAACTCTGAGAATGGAATTCAGCAGTCTGTGTCTTGACAAGCCCTCTAAATAGGTAGGCTTAATGCATGATCAAAACAATTTAAATTAACTATACAATGGTGAAATGCAAGATACACACACGCACACTCACACACACACACAATTCCATAATATTTGGATAATTGGGTTATAATTGTGTGCTTATTGAGTTTTAATTGTACATAATTCCTACTGAGTACTTATTGTTGGTGTCAGGCATTGCATTAGTGTTCTGTGTATATTCCTTGCCTTATCCTATATAGCATGAACTAGCCGAGAAATAAAGTAAGGAACAATAAGAAGTTAACATTTTCAATATCATATTTCAACTTGTGTATTAGGTAACAGACCTCAGCCTTTTGTTTGTTTTATTTTTTCAAGACAGAGGTTTTCGGGGTAACAGCTCTCTGGAACTCACTCTGTAGACCATGCAGGCCTTAAAATCAGAGATCTGCCTTCCTCTGCCTCTGGAGTGCTGGGATTAAAGGTGTGCTCCAACCCCCACACTCGACCACCCTCACCCCCCATCCCTGGCTTGGCCTTTCTTCTGAAAGACTATGCTTGTTACTCTCTATTCAGCACTGAGACTTTGGGACATGGTTCCTTCTCTATTACTCATTTAGCAGCAGCAGCTGATTGAAAAGGTCCCCTGCTCCTCAGACAGATGAGATGGTGACAAGCTTAGGAAAAAGAGTTTCAGCATGCACTACTATCTGGAGTAGAGATGCTTAGCCAATGGTTTAGTGCAGGCACAAAGGAGTTTGAGACTCTTGAAATTACATACAAAAAAGAAAGTTTATGCATAACATTTTTGTAGTTATCCCCCAAATCAAGGAGGGTTTTTTCCTGTCTGAAAGTTTAAGAATTACCACCAAAACAGATGAGCTAACAAGTGCTGTACAATGCCTGATTTCTAAACTGGCCTAAGCCCAAGATTCTATACATTCAGTGGCCCTGGATGATTCTGATACATGTTCAGGCTTTGGAATCTGTGATCTGCTTCAGTGTTTTTCAAATATCAGAATTCTGTGAAGACCTTTTTTGAAACTCAGGTTGCTGAGATGTACATCCAGGGTTCCTAAGACAGTAGGTTCTGTAACCATGCTCTGCCTTCTTAGCAATGTCCAGGGGAGACTGACAGAATTTACTGAAAACCACTGAAAACCATGGTCTTATTCAGTCTCCACATGAAGAAAAAAAATTGAGAGAGATGGGGTAGAATTCAGTGGCAGAGCAGTTGCCTAGTGTTCAAGGTCCTGGGTGTGATCAGCGGAACTGAGAAATAGAAAAATGAATGAACAATAAGGACCTTCTTGCAGCACCAAAGAAGCTACTCTTACTCTTGAGACCTTGAGACAATGAACATGTAGACCTGAACTCTAAATAAATTGTGAGGTTTTTTGTTTGTTTGTTTGTTTTCCATAGAGTGAAATCATCCAACACAAGGGTTATCCCAGTGAGGAATATGAAGTTGTAACCGAAGATGGATACATCCTTTCTGTGAACAGAATTCCTCAAGGACTGACACAATTAAAGAAGGAAGGTATGGTTTACTCGGTGTCACCCCAGTATGATTGTCTTCTTGTAGCCCAGACATGCAGAATTAAGTTTGGTTCTTAGGACAGTCTGAGGTCTCTTGGTTAGGCTGAAAGATAATGTCAGTTCCCACACAATCTCTGTCCCCATTACCATATAACAACCATCCATACCCATATTCATCAACTATCTCAGACATATGTTTTCTTTTCAAAATTATCTTTGATCTGGAGAGGAAGGTCGTGAGTAGAACACATTTTTGGGTCCCTGGGTTCAGTTACCATCACTACAATCAATCAATCAATCAATTAATAAATAAATAAATAAATACGAAACCCACAAACAGAACAAAACAACTCTTCCATTCTGGCACTTAATCCATTTCCTGCATAGAACATCCCCTGATGATCCCTTGAGAAGACCAACCAATAACCTGTTCATGAAGAAAAATCTCCAAGGAAACACCTGAAGCGCAAAGCTGTACAATGTGTTCACCAACCAAAGAGTAGTTCAAATATTTGTGATGTTGCCTCCTTTTCCACTGAGGACTAGGAACCAGGCTCTAGGTGCACATACTTTAATTTCCAGTGTGTGTTCATGTCATTTGCTTAATTATGTTTTTATAAGAGATTCTCAGCTGATACTTCTTAAACTACTGATCTCTGTGCCTTTCATATTTTGGCTCTCTATTTATAACAGCAGCTACATTGTTTGTCATGGGTGCTAAAAGATAACTTCTTGGGTTTTCTCTGTATACCTGCTAGTGCTTCATTTTCTTAGTCTCATGTAATTTTCATTATAATTTGCCACACACTAGACCAGAAATTCCATACTAATACTTGTGGTACTCAGATTGTTAGAATGCAGCCCGTGTTCTTAATTAACACTGGTCAAATGTTATTGGTCTCTGATGTAACAACTTCAGAATTCTATTTATCCCTATCTGTGATTGCATGTTTAAACTGACACGAGTCTACTCAGTTTCCACCCCAGTGCCTTTGGACTTACAATTCTTTCTTCGCAGCTTTCCAAGACCCTTATTCTTCCCTACCTCTCTATTCCGAATGCAGCCTCATGCCATCTTCTAACATCTGGCCTCACTTCCTCATACTCCCCCTTACATGCCTGAAGACATTCTATACGGTAGCTACTTTCTTGGTAGTTAATTGTCTTTCTCTCCTCCACCAGAATGGAAACTCAATAAAGCAGGGACCTCTATTTCATTAAAAGCCTGGTCAACAGTTAACACACTGCTTAGAGCAGTCTAGGAACTGATAAATTTATTTGTGAGATGAAGGAATGAAATGTGCAAATAAATGCATACCCTAGGAGCAGACTTTTCACAAAGTTCCACAAGTCCTACAGGCTTGGGAAAGGCATGGTGCTTCCAGTCCAGTGACATATGGACTGCTTGGTGTGGAAGGGGACTCCCGTACTGCTCTAAGGGTCAAGTTTGTACTTAATAGCTGCTGAATGGCTTGAGTGTTGACCTTCCAAAAAGCCTTTCAGTTCTAGTGGTGTGCAATACAGCCCCCTAGTGGCTGACATTCTTACAGTTCCCGTTACTTCCTAATGCACTGAAGTTGATTACAATTATTTATTTAGGTTTTGACAGCATCTTGTGTAGCCCTGGCTGGCCTCAAAATCATGATCCTCCTGAATTAGCCTCCTCAGTTCTGGTTTTACATGTATATGCCGCCACCTCCAGCTTATAACTTTATTCTGACAGACAAATTTCTCTGAAGCATGGTTTCTTTTACATGTATTAGCATTAGTCATTATATATAATATATATATAATATATATATATATATGTACGTGTGTGTGTTCATCATTATAAAATATTCTCTCATGAAGCACAGCAAATATTTTTTGAGGACCTAATACTAACAGTTTCATGTTTAAAGTTCCTTGAAAAACAATTATGGAAACTGCATTTTAAACTTTTTTCCCCACTGACAGGCAGTATGCTGTCTGTTCCTTGTGATGTATCTTACTTATTCATAACAAAAAATGCTATTTTCTGGTGGTAAAGAAATTAAAAGACACACAAAAAATCAAGACATCAACTAAGATAATCAAACTAGTAAACAGTAAATAAAAGATTTGCACATAGATTTCTCTAGCATGCAAGTCCTTGTTTGTAGCGAAAATAAAAAGAGTAGGGATCATTTCATAGCAGTTGGGACTTTCTTTGTTTGAAGGGTCCAGGCCAGTGGTGTTACTGCAGCATGGCCTTCTTGGGGATGCTAGCAACTGGATTTCCAACCTGCCCAACAACAGCCTGGGCTTCATTCTGGCTGATGCTGGCTTTGATGTGTGGATGGGAAACAGCAGAGGAAATACCTGGTCTCGGAAACACAAGACTCTCTCCATAGACCAAGATGAGTTCTGGGCTTTCAGGTACAAGAAAACTTTGAGGATGGAGGTGGGCATAGACATAGATGTGCTCAAAGAACTGGGTAAAGAATTGTGGATAACTTGTTTAGTTGTATCACCAAAGTCCCAATTGATAACCCCAAGTTTCCTAATTATCTTTGGGTAATAATGGAGAAGATTGGATTCTCCAAGATCTGACTAACAGTGGTTGGTGTCTGATGATTAACACTGCAGTGAGAAAAGGGTAGGTCCATTTTTGTGTGAGGGAATATCTAGGATTAACTCCCTCATCTGTGACAACATGGCTGACATCTCTAGGAGATGAGGCCCAGTGTCATCAAATGGGGATTTATTCATCTTTGTGTGCTGTCAACTTTACTAGTCTCTCATAACCCCACTCGAGCTCCTAAGGTCCTTAATTACCACTGATATTCAACCTATTCTTTACCCATTTCATCAGATAAGAGTTCTGCTACACTTCCAGTATTTGTCCAACAAAGAAATCTGCATCCCACTGTGCTGTTCTACGTACAGGATAGAGCACTCCTCGCACTAGGAGGTGGCTTGTGTGTTGAAAAAGTTCAATAATCATCACTCTATCATAGCATCCAGAGTGAATAGTCATTTCTATCAGTCTGTGACCTCACAGAGTCACCACAGCTTGAAGCATGTCTGTCTTATGAGAAACACAGTAAGAGCTGACACTAGGGGAACTTGTTGGCAGGTCCTGGGGGGGGGGTGGGAAGTGAGTGATTTTTGGCTGTGTTCTGTTTGTATTATAATTGTTATCTAACTTTGTCTTTTCCCCTTGTAGTTATGATGAAATGGCTAGGTTTGACCTTCCTGCTGTGATAAACTTTATCTTACAGAAAACAGGCCAGAAAAAGATCTATTATGTCGGCTATTCACAGGGCACTACCATGGGTAGGTTCACAGGAAAGAAGGTTTGTATCTGTAGAAGATGAGCCTGTGACTCAAGCTGTGGCTGGGCTCAGTTAATTACTCCCCTTGCCTGGCCCTCTCCTCTTCAGTTGCTCTAAAACCTTCAGGGAACAGAGGGGGAACTGAAGGAGGTGAAGGGTCTTATCATCAAGTGACAAACAGAGCTGATGGTTTTAACTCACGTTTCTCTCTTGCTGTCATTACCAGTCTTGGATTAGGTGCTTATGTCCAGCTTTGAGAGAATCTGTGAGACTGACATGACAGCCCCTCAGGACAAGATCACTTACATGGGGACATGGGGACAGTGGCTATTCTGGTCTCATAGCATACCCAAACCCATGAGAAAATACTTGCTAGGCTTGGATTAGGAGGAAGAGCTATACAGCAAAGGGGGAGTTTAAAATCTGGAACTAATCCGGGATCTTTATCTTTGTTCTGAGCAGGATTTAAGTTTTCTAAGGAAAAGCACATTCTTTTTAGTCAGGGTAGCTATGTCTAACTACCAAGACAGGGTTTATATTCATTAGAAAGATGAAGTTAAGTGGATTCACTAGCATCTTTGTATTGTTTTAGCCTTCGTAATAATGATAGTTGTCTTATATGAGTATTTACTAACTGCTTACCATTAGAAATTCAGCATTTTGCTTCATCGCTGAACAAGAATATTTATTTGGAAGAAATTCGTATCCCCATTTTATAGATGAATGAATTGTAACATAATGAAAGAACTAGGGACTTAAGTGTGAGCCACTAAGCCAGTAACTGCACTTGTGTGTGTCAAATAGCTAATACACAGTGAGGGAAATACACAGAAAATAACTAATACACATTGAATGGAAAATACACACAAAAACACGCACACACACAGATGCGCACACACACAGTCCTTAGCTCCTACAAGAGTCTCACTTCCATCTCTACAACCATTGTGGAGTATTAAGTCCAATCTTTCAAGGAACAGACATGGAAACCTTTGAGGTCCGCTATTCTACTGAAGTATTATGAATTCAGGCAGATAGACCTCAATTAGCACTGAGTTAACTCATAGGACGCTTGTTATTGCCTTAACTCAACCATACACCATGGAGCCAGCAGACCACGCAATCACTCTGGTCATGGTTACTGACTCACCAGGGTGGTTTCCTTCTGCCAAAGTTCTCATTGATCATTAAATGTGTCACCCAAACTTACCTTTTTACTAGTTCCCAATGAATACAATGACCATTCACCTTTCTCTGAAATTCCTCAGGTTTGGGGTCTGTCATCCCTCTACTAAAGGAATAAATGACTTAATGTACTTACTTTGAGAAATTAAAGGAGAATGAGCCAGAATGAGAAAGAGGAAATTATTTCATGCACAAGTTCAACATATTATTGGAGAGTTTATGTGTCTCAACTGTCACTATTTCCCCTAAAATTTATTCAGCCCAGGACACACATCATACAGAGTGGCAAAGTCAAGTGGTTGTGGACAAGCCTTAGACATCAACCTTTGCTAAGAAACAGCATAATTTATACACAAAACTAACCTGACGCTGAAGCATAGCAAGCACAGTATAATTGGCTAAGTTTATTTATCTTTTATTCTTGATCTGTATAAATGACATTACTGCTAGTCTCTTTTGGGAATTATGTGGTTTCACTGGGTCTTCTTAGGTTTTATTTACTGAACCAACCTGTTTCCTACAAAAATTCTCAACAATCATCAAGACTATTACAATGATATCCCATAAAATTAAAGTTGTTGGGCTGGAGAGATAGCTCAGCCATTAGAGGCTAGGCTCACAACCAAAAATATAAGATTAAAGTCGTATTGGGAATCAAAAATTCTAATAGCTGTTGGAACTGAGAGATGGAATTCAGTGGGCTCATTTTTAACCCATACCCTAAAGGATGAAAGAAGCTTTGGTTTCACATGTTCCTTATCTTAATTTTGGAAAATAGGAATGTAGTGTCGCTCCCTCTCATCAAACCAGAGATAGAAAAGTTACAATATTTCATACCTCTACAACTCAGAGGTGTTTTTAAACTGTTTTCTCTATACACAAATTGTTGGGTTTAATGCCAAGGCAGGGATGCTAGTGGCAAGGCTAGATTCTGTTTTGAGAGGAATGTATGAGCAAGAAAGCATTCATGAGTCTACTGATAAACTATGGGGCTGTTCAAATAAAAACCTTGAATTTGCTTTGCATGATGAGAAGTCTTCCTGGGAGAGGCTATTTAGGGGTCTCAGGTCTTAACATTTGAGAAGAGCTTTAATTTGGTCAGAATTAATCTGCTTTGTATAAGTTTATGTGTCCCCATCCATTTGTACTCACAGCTTAGCGGAGAGAGGAGCAAGAGGTAACAGCAAGTCTCTCCTGTATTTGCCTTTGCTTATAGCTAGCAAACCTAATCAGATACAGAGGACTGTATAGAAAGATTCTGCCTTCTCTCATACCCATTCACTTTCTGGGAACTGAACAGAGGTCATGAGTTGACTTTTCCTCATCCTCATCCCTCAAACTGGAAATATCAGCCTAAACAGAGAATGTGCATATGTACATGACTTCAAATGTAAGACCACATCCTGGCTTCACCGGACAGCCTTTCTCTTCCATAACTTCAGCTGAGATCTTCAATAAGTAAGAGTATTTGGGGAAATTGTTCTTTCTACTCTGGGTGTGGAAGCCAAACAACTCAATGAAAACATACTACCTGAAAATAAACATGAAAGGTGTCATATGAAACACAGAAGTTTTTGCAGTGAGACCCACTCCCACCCCTCCCCACATACACACTATATCCCTGAAGCCTACAATTGCATCAGAGGAAGATTAAGACACACACATAATTATTAGAGGATTTTTGTCAGAAGTAAAGTACATATTTTATGAGTTATGGGCTATTCGGTACCCATGGTGATGAATTTTTCTCTCTTACAGGCTTTATTGCATTTTCCACAATGCCAGAGCTAGCTCATAAAATAAAAATGTATTTCGCCTTAGCCCCTATAGCCACTGTTAAATATGCAAGAAGTCCTGGTACCAAATTTCTGCTGCTGCCAGATATGATGATCAAGGTATGGGACAGTGCAGATGTCTCAGTCTGCAGGGAATTCTTCCAGCCCTGTTTCTTATACTGCATACCTTAAATAAAAACCATTTCTATTCCTGGGTATATTGTCATGGACATTATTCCATCTCTTTCTTCACAGGGACTATTTGGCAGACAGGAATTTTTATATCAGACTAGATTTTTCCGACAGCTTTTTATTTACCTTTGTGGCCAGATGATTCTTGACCAGATCTGCAGCAACATCATATTACTTCTGGGGGGATTTAACACAAACAACATGAACATGGTGAGTAAGAACTTCATTTCCTAAGCAAAGCTAGGAGCTCTTAGTCTCAGTCCTTGAAAATGATCTAGCATCAACCAAAGGTTGTAGAAATGCTGTGCAACATGTAATTTGCTATTTCCTAATTGTAAGAAAATGTTGGCAAGCTCCAGGAGGGGATCATGCAATGTTAACATGAAAGCATTGCCAGATCCTAACTTGACAGATTACAGGCAAGATTGGAAACCTACAGGAAATAAATTCATAGAGAAAGGTAACCAGGAAACTGGAAGCCAATCAACCAGACATCATTTATCTCTGCCTCCACATGGGGACTTTTGATTTGCACTTGAAGTTCTGTGATGGAAATGGGAATTTCAGCTTGGCTTAGGTGTAGATTCTGGTGGCATCACTGGGTGAATTCTCTAGCATGTATGAGTTGAAGATTCATGTACAAAATGATGTGTGGTTCTTGAGATAAATCCTAGAGAAGGGAGGAAAATGGACTTGGGGCCATGAAGTAACTTCAAAACAAGCTGAAGTTGACCCTCTAAGGACAGCTATTCTCCAAACCTTGGGTATGGATCCCCATAGAGGTCACATATAAGATATTCTGATATCTATGATTCACAACAGTAGCAAAATTAGACTTATAAAGCAGCAATGAAAATATTTTTATGTTTTGGGGTCACCACAACATGAGGAACTGTATTAAAGGGTGGCAGCATTAGGAAGGTTGAGAACCACTGCTCTAGGATTTGTGAGGGTGGCCAAATCCTACAGAGATAATAGTGAGGGAGATTTTGGCCAAGGCATGGATCTTCAGGCAAGATTCCTGTGAAGGCTGCCTGTCTATAGCATTCTTGGGACAGGAGTAATGTCTTTCATTCCTAAGAAATTTTCTCTTTAAAGAAAAAAAAAACCAACATTGAATTAACTTATATCCACCATTTAACAGGCATTTATACCATGCCAGGATAAACTTTTCTTGCCAACAAACCCAAAAGACAAATATTATGGGCTAGTATACTGAATTCAGGGGTTAATTAACTTGCCCAGATCCACCCCAAAATTAAATAATAGAGCTAGGTCCAGTACTCCACTCCTTATTCTAAATGTCTCTAGTAAAGTTACTTATTTATTTTTGTTCAATCTAGTTTTGCAGTGGTGGGGTTGAAACTTGTAAAGTCTTTTTCATGAGAAGCTATTCTCAAAGGAACAACACTTTCTCATAGGAAGGCAGTGGCAAGTAATACACACACACACACACACACACACACACACACACACACACACACGTACTTTCCTGTTTAGTAGGTTATGGCCAGTGATTTAATGATTCTCCTATTTCTTAGCCTGGCAACATGGAAGTTTGGTCTTGACAAGACTGGCATCTGGCCCCTTAAGTCATTATGCTTTGTTACAGAGTCGAGCAAATGTGTATGTTGCCCACACACCTGCTGGAACATCTGTGCAGAATATTCTGCACTGGAGCCAGGTAAGAAATGCCCAGCTCACAGCCTGAATGAGGAGCCTTGTGTCTGCAACAGTCACATAGCCTGACAGTTTCTGTTTATCCTGAGTTAGAATCCAGCCATGATATTAGAGCATGAACTTACTTGAAACTTCCAGTAACAGGAGGCAAGGGCAGAAAGTGGTTTAAGCCTGACCTTACTACCTCATGAATGAAGCACCATTCAAATGAGACTCTTCTCTGTCTTGTGTCAGAGTCCCAAAGGATGATGAAGGAAATTATTATGTTTATCCCTGTCCTTATCAGCTTTTTGAGTAGCCCAGCCGAGTCAGAACACAAATGTTCAGGTGGGCCAAATTGCAGAATGAAATTTTCACAGGAGTTCTTGGTGTTGTAAGCCTTACAGTCTCGGGAGAGGTGTGTGTGTGTGTGTGTGTGTGAGAGAGAGAGAGAGAGAGAGAGAGAGAGAGAGAGAGAGAGACAGAGACAGAGATACAGAGACAGAGATACAGACACAGAGAGAGAAGGAGGGAGGGGTAAGGGAAGAAAGAAGGAAGAAAGAGAAGAAAGGAGGGAGGATGGAGAAAGACAGATGAGGTCAATGGAGAAGCTATGGGTACTGTCTCCTATCAGCATGACATTGCCTAGGTGCAGTGTGTAGCCCTATCATGGCATCTGGAGTTGTACCAAACACCCATCCACACTGACATACCACAGATGCACTTCCTGCAGTAGATGCAATGGCAAAGCTCTGCTGCGCATCATGTTTCTTGCTAAAAGAGCCAGATTGTTGACTTGCACTCTTCTAAAAGGACTCCCAGAGAGAATAACTCAAAGAACTTCACTCTCTGCTTTCCTCACAACCACAGATGGGGTATAATTTGAATACCCCATCTCTCCCTTTAAATACCTTTCTCTTTCTCTCTTCCTTTCTAGGCAGTGAATTCTGGTGAACTTCGTGCCTTTGACTGGGGAAGTGCGACCAAAAATCTGGAGAAATGCAATCAAGTAAGATTGTCAAGTATCACCTGCTAAAAATATACCGCCCTTCAGAGATGTTTGAGAGGGAAGTTACAACTATATGTTATTCCAGAGATAGTAACAAAATACAGAAATTCAAGCAGGAACAGTGATAGTTCAAAGTCTAACTGCATCTGAAAATGGGAAAGCATACAGCTTAACCAGCAGCCTCATCATTTCTGCAAGGAGTGGGAGGCCTGTGTCATTGTGCCTGTCCCAGGAGCAAGGCACAAGGGCTTCTTGGGAGCAAGATGGGGTCCAGTTAGTCAAGGATGAGTGCATACTAAAGAGATCCTTTTAGCATCAAGACAAACATGTACATAGAGATGTAAGAATGATGTACAAAGAGCCTGAAGTAGATGGAGATTCCTATTTGCCATGGCTCTATACCTCAGGGTTGTGGGATTATGGGTAGGCTACCATGATTCAGGACTTAGTCTATGTAAAATAGAAACAATTCTACATGGTATCCTTAAGGTGTTCTTCGGGCTGGGGAGATAGCCAACGGGTAAGAGTACTTCGTGTGCAAACATGAGGACTTGAGTCCCTCACAGCACTTACATTAAAAGCCAGGCATGCCCAAGTGTGTCTATAACCTCAGTGCAAGGGATTGGGTGTAGAAGACAGGAGGACTTCTGAGGCTTACTGACCAGCCAGATTAGAAAAAAAAAAAAAATGGTGGACTCCAGACTCAGTGAGAGCCCTGTCTCAAGGGGACAGAAGAGTGATAGGCAAACTGCCCATGTCCGTCTTTGGCCCCCATGCATGCACACAGTGCCTCATAGTGTGTGCACCACTACACAAATATACATATAGATACACCACGCTTGCACACACACACACACACACACACACACACACTTGTTCATATGCACATGTACTTTCTGATCATACTTTTAACAAGTATAATTTTCAAGCTAAAATACAAAAAGAAACACACACAAACAGTATTACACTATCCTGAGTATGAAACAGAAATATGGAGAATCAGAATTGAGTAAGGATGCTCTTTTGAGTGTAAAACTCTCACTGAAGATTGCTGGTTATCGTGAGCGTAGATATAGAGATTGGTTGTACACAGCCTATCCTTCTCTGGGGTCCCATGTTTTACTTAACATCTAGTGTAGTGATCTACCTAGACATAAAATGTAGGGAAATTGGGTGAACTGTGTGGTTGCCCTTTGATACTAAACTTAGCACCATTTCTCAACTATCTCTTTTGAGATCTCCCTTGACTGCCTTCAAACCCATGACTTTAGAGAACATTCAGGTTCTAAGATATTTTTCATCTATGAGGATTTTGTGGGTTGAGTTCTAGAGACAATGGTAAAAGTAGACTAGGCATTAGAAAACAGCAATGAAGGGAAGAAAAGCAAATGTATGGGAAGATGCTATCTAGGGTGTCAGCTAGAGCTAGGTGGGGCATTTAGCTCAAGAAGGAGCACTGATTACACCAGAGTGACCTTCTGCTCTGCAGCTATATTAGACAGCCACTTCAGTTCTTAGGGTATCAGGAAGACAAAGAAGCTCTCTAGGATTGAAGCTATGACTTGCACTTGATTTCATACTAATAAACTGTCCTCCCTGGCTCCATGAAATTTCTGTGTGTTGACTGATCCCAAGAACTCAAATTGCCATGAAAATCTACCAGCATTGCCTGAACAGAAATTCCCTTTGCATGATTTAAGGGGAACAGAAAACTTCTTTGCATGATTTAAGGGGAAGTTGCATGTGGGGTTGGGACAGGAATTATTGTAGTCTTCCTTAGTTTAGAGTAGCTGAATGCCTGGGGGTGATTTGTAGTTTCTCCTGGTTTGGAGGTTTGGTGAAGCTGAATCTCCACTGTGTAACCCAAACAGGCCTTTGTAACAGGTTTCCTTGTCTTTTCTGTGGAGCGTCCCCAATTCTTGTCTCACAAACTATAACTAATGAGGACATTATTTTAAAAAGAAATTTATGTATGAAATGTTTAATAAGAAAAGTACAGATTATTCAATGCCTAAAGTGCAACATAGGGACTATAGTGCAGCTTAGTGGTAGAACATGTGTTCAGCATGCATAAGGTCCTGGGTAAAATCACACACACACACACACACACACACACACACACACACACACACACACACACAATTAATTTGTATTCCTTCTCACAGGATGTAGTAAGTTGTTAGAGCTATTATCTCCATTTCATATGGAGAAATTAAAGTTGAATCATGTTCAGTAAGTTTTCCTTAATATTGGACCTGGAATAGAAACTCTTAATCTACATGACTCTAACTCCTAAACACACTTTTGATCACAACCCAGGACATTTGTATTATGTTTACTTAAAATAGAAGCCATAAAAAATGTTAGAAATATTATGTGTCATTCAAACTATTCTTTTCATCTAGCCAACTCCTATAAGGTACAAAGTTCGAGATATGACAGTACCCACAGCAATGTGGACTGGAGGTCAAGACTGGCTTTCAAATCCAGATGATGTGAAAACCCTACTTTCTGAAGTAAGCAACCTCATCTACCACAAGAACATTCCTGAGTGGGCTCATGTGGATTTCATCTGGGGACTGGATGCCCCTCACCGCGTGTACAATGAAATCATACACCTGATGAAGCTGGAGCCCAGCCTTTCCCAGGGAACCTGCAAGGTCACATTGTGAAGCTCCTGCTGTCCAGCAAGTCCTGGAATAAGATCACACAGTATGGGCGGGGCCACAGGAGGAAGATTTTCAAAGGAATTTCTAGACTTGGAAACATGCTGTATCATTAAACTGAAGGCCAGAGATTTGGGGATGCCAGAAGACCTGCTGGTCCAAATGAAAGCTTCATGTTTCTTTATTTGACACTAAAGCTGAAACTTACACTTTTTTCCAGTTGGTTAAGATAAGTTGATAAACATAGGTTTCCTGTGCTTAGGATCTTCTACTGTCTCGCAGTATAGTTATGGCTTGACCAACAGAAAGTATCTAGATATTCATTTATCATTCACCCTTTCCAAACTACTTTTTATTTCTGTAAAAGGAAGACTTGGGGCAGAAATTAAAATTGTAAATCTTTGGACTATTGACTTGGATAAAATGGACTGGACATTGCCATCTTATTGCCATAAAGACAGGAAGCCATGCTATTTAGACAACAACAGAAAAATAAAGTTATTATATAGGTGGAACCTAAGCTAAACTGCCTTAGAACAAAATTTATAGCTGAATTTCAAAGATATTTTATAGAGTATTTATGAGTTTTTCAATAAATTATGTGTCTCATATAGCATATCTGTGTGTTAGTACTGAGATTTTTCAGCTGCTATTAGGAGACCAGCTGGTCCATATGAAAGCTGTGAAGAAACATTTATAATGTCAGCAGGAGGATAAAATAAATTGCTGTATATTTCATCTTTTAATCAAAGAAGAATCAGTCAAATATCCCAATTCACTCATAAATCTAGATTTAAGTCCTTAGAAAACTCTTTCATTTTCATACAATTTCAAGGATGAGAAGTTGTAAATTATGAATATTACTTGGCAGTATGTTCTGAAGATAAATCAAAGCTCTACTGTGCCTGTTGGAGGCAGCTGTTGAGAACAGATGGGTGTTTGTTGAACACATCTTAGACTGTGAAGTCCATCTGTCCTCCCTGGGGTTACCTGGTAATTTAGTCCAATGTGGATAAACCTTACATAAGTTCCTTAGAGACTTCAAGACCCTATGTATATCCTCAGGGTCTGTACATAGCTCTATAAACATTTCCAGATTGGATTTTCAATGATCCTTTTTGTATTCAAGGAGAGTAAATCTTTCACCATTAACTGTTTTGGTTACAGTGTGTAATGTGGCTTAGTCCATGTCTACAGCTGTGCCTGGATCATCTTGATTTTCAAAAGTCACTTATGAGGTAGTTTTATTTCCATTCAGTGACAGTTTTCTATTCACAACCTCTCACTTAGAAATATAACCCAAATACTTCTCTGTTTCTATGAAGACCATTAAACAAGTCAGTTATACTATTTTAAATTTTGTGAAAACTAAACAAAATTGGGGCTAAGAGTATAGCTCTGTGATAAATGACATACTTGGTGTGAATTCCCAATGCCACAAAAAGGAAAATAGATAAATAAATAGCAGCTATGTGTTCACAGGAAGATTCTTTATTTCTGGTGTTGGGGATTAAACCCAGTGTTTTACACATAGCAAACACATGCTCTGCCACAGAGCTACATGTTCAGCCCCATAAGAACTCGGTACAGACATTTTTTATACTTATGTAATTTATAAACTGAAAAGACACTTATTTATAAACTGATAGTGAAATGTATGCTGGGATATAGGTCAGCCAGCTCCTGGGAAACAATAACAAAAAAACAGTTCTGCTGTGGAATGTGTGCCAATTTCTAGTTTAGACAAACTCATAACTGACAACACATAGATGTTTTTATTGAAGATTTTCAATCAAAGGAATATTTACGCAGGAATCTCTAACTCCCCACACATATGTGCCATGTCATTCAAATGCACACATTCTGGTTGTTTGGCTTAGTACGTCAAGGGGCCTGTGAAGAGCCATTTGTCTCCCTGGACAGGATGCAAGGCAAAACTTTCTGAAGGATGACACAACAGGGAAGAGAATGTGACCTCAGGTAGCTCTGACTTGTTTTTAGAAGACACTGAATTAGAATGTTTTAAAAATCAGCTTTGACAGTAACAGAGATTCCAGCTAGTGTAACAGGTCCTTCAGAGGGATTGTGGCCATGGTGACCTCCACTGAATAAGAGTCTTTATTAAATCCAGGGCTTGTCACAAGGCCGATGCATCCAGCTTGAGTGCCCACAGAGAAATCGTCCAAGACAGGGACAACATCCAGTCCTTCAGCTGTGTCTCTCTCTGTCTCCACATGAGAAGTCCCATGACTATGAGGCTTTCCTTAGCATTGATACAATCTGGGAAAATTTTAGTCTCTGTGCGATATCCAGGGAACTCTCACCTTGCTGCAGGAAAAACAAATCATTTACTTGCAGGAAAAACAGGTGTCGATGAGGACCAGCGTGTTGACTCTCAGACTTAGTGGAGGCTTCAGACAGCCTCCTGCTCAAATACATACATATTATAATAAAGTAACAGGCTGGAAGGCATTCAGTGCCCCACCTGAGCAGCTGAATGAGAACCTGTCTCAAAATTTACAAAGCAAAAGGACTTTGGAGATGTGGCCCAACTGTACAGCACTTGCCAAGCATATAAAACATGCTGCACTTAATCCCAAATGTGAAAAGTATTGATTTTTTTTTATTTCAAAAGTAGAACTAGGGCAATCTTTCCTTCCTTGAGAGGAGTAATTAATTGATGGTGATTCACAGGAGAGAAAGTGAACTCACTTGTACAAGTGGTCCAGACAAGAAAAGGTTGCCTCGGGGAGGAGCACAGTTGCTAGGCCCTTACCTTGTTCCTGATCATGGGGTCTGCACGGGCTTTCAGAAGCAGGGGAATGAGCGTCTGATTTTTCATCTGGCATGCATAGTGCAAAGCAGTGTAGCCATACTGAAACACAGAGGACCAACCTTGTAGTTCATCAGCCGGGCTGTCGGCAGGCCTCAGCATTCCGTGCTAGAGCAACTGTTCATGGTTCGTAGTGGACAACTAACCAAAGCCAATCTGCTAGCCACTTATGGACAGCTATATTTCTTGTGCTATCTTCCTCACTATGCATATGAAAATCTAATAAGACATTGAACTTTCCCTTTCTCAATATCTGCTCTAAACTCAGATGAGCAGCTTATAAAATGATATTAAACTCATCTTCATTTAAGTACAAATAAAATATAATAAGAAATCATGCAAATAATTACTAGAAACAAGAATGAGGTGGACATCACAGAACAATGGTAATACTCAGAGAGAATAAGTTAGACACCACAAATAGGAGTTCAATTCTTTTTAAAACAAATTTCAACTTGCCCTCCTTGCTAAAATATTGGAAATCTAAAATCTTACCTCACAAATAAGAGAAAATTGGATAACAGGATAATAAAATTTCAACTGACCCTGAGCATCAGCAGAAGAAGAAAATTTGGAGTAAAGGTGAAAACGAAACCCTCTACTGCCTTATGGGAAGGAGGAAGCTGATGGCGTTTCGGGTATTGTGGATCCTATCAACACTGGGGTTTTTCTCTGAACTTTGACCTTTTCTCCCTTCCATTTATGAAAGAGACCTGTCTTCTAGTGATTGGGATCATGGCTGCAGCAGCTATTAACATGCAATAAACTCTGACTACATTCTAATCTCTTCTGAGGACTTTGCAGGAACCTGCCCGATGAGGCCAGTACTAATTTCTGATTTACAACTAGGCATGTTGAACAGGAGCATGATACCAGACACTCATGGGGCTAAAGCTGAAGGGTCACACCATCAAGGCCAGCCTGAATAATTTAACAAAAGGATGCCTCATAACAAACAAACAAATTTAAGAAAGATAGGTATAGCTCAGTGGTAGAATATTTACCTAGCATGTATGATGTTCTGAATTAAGGCTCCAGCACAATTTGTTTTAATCTCCATTTTATAGATGAGAAAATTGAGCCAGATATGTTTATAGTGTCCCAAGCCAGCTTAACTAAAAAGTGACAAGATTAAATGTACAAATAGGCATTCTATCTAACTCCAGCTGCCAAACTACTAAGGATAGTATTTTAGCATCATTTTCCTTAATGTGTCACTATAGTCAAATGCAAATTGTTTTAAAATTTTCCTATAATCAACAAATATTGTATGCTCATGTGTTTAGCAGGAGAATATCAATAACTTCAAAGTTACCTGATGACAAAGAAAAAAAAACCTCTATGTACACATCTAGAAAAATAAAGCATGAAACTTTGTCAACAGCAAGTATTCTAACTAGGTATATCATATGAGGATTATTTCAAAATGCAAACATACACAGTCAGTAGCATTAACTTCGACACCAGCATCAAGAAGCATGCGTACAAGATTCTCATTCTGCTTTGTCTTTGATACCTGTTACAAACAACAAGTATAAGAAAATGTTACACAAACATTTTGTACATCTTGTTTGGGACTGCTCCAGTCAATTGCTGCATGTTAATCCTATGCTCCTACTTCTTAGCACACACACACACATCCCTGTTAAACCACAGTACTCAAGCTGTGCTTCAGGAACATCAGCATATTCAAAGACCTAACCCCATTTCTACCACATCTTAAGAGAATGAGATCTAGTTCCTGGCTTTTCCTTATTGGCTCAAAAGTCTCATCGATCCCTATGTATCTAAACTCTTGAGTGGCCCTAGAGCATATGGCTTAGCCTTTTTGCATGCTTCACTTCCTGGCTCCTCTGGTCAAGTTACAATGGGTTTTGTTAAGCCTTCATTTCCAAACAAGTGCTCTCCCTGACAGAGAATCATGTCATGGGACATTTCTTCAACTAGAAGCTTTCTTTGATTAGCAAATGTGTTTGTGATACTCCCAATCCATGTCCCTTTTCTGTGGCTTTCCCTGACCTATCTGGCCAAGTGAAATCCTTTTCTTCTAGACTTTTGTAATACCCGTATCCTCTGTGTCCCCAGCTTCGTGGTAATTTCCCACAAATCCGTGCCATTTGACAGCACCCAACTTCCCATCATGCTGTCACTGATGAAGGCAAAGACTGCACTTGCTTTTTCCCCTAACATCTGGCCTGCACATAAGGGGGTCCTAGATGATCATATAGTGATTGATGGACAGTAGTGAATGGCACAAGGTGAAGCTCCTCAGAAATGTGCTTTCTGTCTCTCTGTAGCCTGGTAAGATTCTGAGCACACCACAATAGGAACCTCCTCCAAGCTGCTTGCCTGAGGAGACAAAGACCTCCATGCTCACATAAGCAAGGTCTGGCGTTTTCCCCACTCAACCTCTGGAACTCCACTTGGGTGTCGTCTCACCATGCTGTCCTCCTGTGTCACCTTCTAAATTCTTTCTGCCCTGACCCTTCTCTGAAGTGATTTAATCATTTCTAGTCCTTTCCCCATGCTACCTCTTCCTTATATAGCATAAACTTAGCATCCCAGTTCCCACTAATAGTGTAGGTATGCAGTTATAGCTGGGCTACTGACTTCAGTGTCTACCTAGAACCCCAGCTTCTGAGCCATGCTTGAAAGCAGAGCTGTGTGACAGTGAATGCAGAACAAGCCTTAGTCATCATCTTGGAATGCATTTCTTCAAAACCTCTAAAATGTAAGTGAATTATCAGATTCTTTGTGTCCAGAAATTATAAATGTTCAAATAATGTAAGATAAAGACACATGCAATCTTTTCAAAATGCCTTCAAAGATGTGTGTTCAAATGATGTGTTCAGAAGTGAACTAAAGAATCCTCAACAAGTTTCTTAAGTTCTGTATCCTTTAAGTACCTAAGTAGAAAATGGCATTTTTAACTGGCAGAATTTTACTGGAACTTGTATTAATAAGAATAACTAATGTCTATTGTCTGCTGGCTACATAAAGGAGGTAGCATCGTCATTTATATAACTTGGGTAAGTGATTCTCTGTTTTAGTCATCTCTCAATAGTCTGACTGATCACAATGGGACCCAGATAGGAAAAATGAGAAAGAATCGGTATAGATTAGTCTCCATATCTGAGGAAAACAGAAAACAAACAAAATAACCAACTTTGGTCTTCTACTTAATATGATTCCTACACTATCTACCTACTTATTTATTCAAGAAAATTATCCTGCCAAAGACCAATGCCAGTGTGATTTGGCTCCTCAAGGTGAGAGACTAGGTCAGAACCTCCAAAAATACCTTCTGTGTTTGTCAGCTTCCAAAGGCAGAGAACTTAGGATTTTTTTCCTCCAACTCACCATCAGAGTGCATCCTTAAAATTCAGAAACTTGGGGAGAGATGATGTAAAACAAAAACCTCAGCCAGTGATTCTGAGACTCTTGTGCTGCTGGGTGATGGAGGTGAGTTACAGCTCCCAGTGTGACCAGCTGGTCAACACCCTATATTTATTCTAGAATGTACTGTGATGCTAAAACACGGCACTTGACAGGCTGTGTAAAGCAAATGCATTTCTACCTACAACATTTTCATTCATGGGAGGTTCATTGAGACAGGACCCCACTGGAAGTCAAGAAACACCTGCACAAACCAAGGGCTTGTTTTGCTGCCATTTCTTTACATCACACTGCCAAGGGAAAACTGACGAATCACTCCAGGGCTCTCCTACACATCTGTCCTTTGCCTGAGCAACAGTACTCACCATGAGGAAATACCCGATAAGCAAGACAGGCATTAAAAGGATAATGAGTAGATAATCAAAGAAGGTAAACCTCTTCTTCACAGCATAGTGCAAGCAGGTTCTCTCCTTCTATAATTAAGAAAAGGATTCTTTAGCTTATATACCAAAAGATTTAGGTCATGCTTTCTTTTTTTCATTTCTAAGGTACCCATTTCAAGTTAATCATTGACATTATGCCATATACCATCAGGTCTCTTAAATAAACATATACAGAATTTTAAATGTAAGACTATTGTGAATATTCAAAACCATATACTGAGCTTGGCATTGATGATTTTAATCCCAGCCCTTGGGAGGCAGAGGCAGGCGGATCTCTGTGAGTTTGAAACCAGCCTGGTCCACAAGAGTTAGTTCCAGGACAGGCTCCAAAACTACACAGGGAAACCCTGTCTTGAAAAATAAACAACAAAAACAAACAAAAAAAAACATATACTGCATATGCATTTTCAGTCTAAGTACCTCATTTTATGATACACATTTGATTAATAACTCAGGGCTTCATTCACCAGAATGTTGAATTTGTACACTATGAAGGAAACACCAAAAATAAACAATAGAGATGGGTATGCATACAAACCATCATAGAATGGATCCTCATGCTTGTTTTGGTTTTTGAGATGATAGATTATAAATATAGATATAGGAATGAAGTCCGTATGAAAAGACACATGGGTATAGATTGCCCTTGGTCATTGGTGTGGGTTCTAAATGTGGACACTTGCCTCTTTGTTGACTCACCCTGAAGTCTTAGTATTTTTTGTTGGACTCCTGGATCCAATCATACCCCTAAATGTAACCTTTGAGGGAGCCAGTGCCATCAGTGGAAGAGCCTTCACTTGTGAGTGCTTGTTCCATTCCAGGGGGTCCTTCCTATGGTCTGATATGCTCTTAGAACCCCTTAGAACTCCCACAGCTATTCCTCTGCAGTCTCTGGCTCTAAGTCTACACTGCTGAATACTGAACCATTTTGATGCTCTGTCTTCCTAGAAGGCTAGAGGTTCTGCTGGCCATGTACCTGAGATGGTTTTCCCAGTACCCTACCTTCCTCTATTGCTTATGCATCCAACTTTTGTCTCTTTCCTCCATCTTCTCCTGTATTTTTTTTTTTATGTCTATAACTGAAAGTGTAACATAGATTCTGAACTCTGTCTGGCACTATGGCTCTGATCCATAGTGTTTTATTATCTTTCACTGATAGGCAAGAATTCCCCTACTGTACCAATCTAATCTCCCTGGGATGGATTCCGAACTTCCTCCCATTCTGCTTGTAAAATTTCTATTTTACTTTTCTATGGAAATGAGAGTTTGGGCCTCTACCACCTATTTTGACAATGTTATCCAGCATTCCCTCGTTCACTCCCTAGAGATTCTACTGGACCATTCTTAAATGTCATCCACCATCTTCCAGTACTCAGATTCAGGTGCTTCCTGTTGTAATGTCTTGGTCTTCAGAAGAGCCTATAATGTGCTTGTTGGACCTAAGGATATTACTATGAAACTTGCTGGAGACAAAGAAGTTGGTGAGGTAGAGGCGGTGTGAAGGCACACAGACACTTAGAGGCTGTGATAAAGGAAGCTGTCTTGGAAGCTTCAGAACCAGGGAAGAACAGCCTCTTCAACAAATGGTTCTGGTAAAATTGAATGTCAATTTGTAGAAGAATAAAGCTACATCAGAGGGCAAACACATTAATGCAAAAACATTCATATCATAATACTCTGAAACCGCAGAGGTAAAGTAGGGGAAATACTTCAAGATGTAGATATATAGATGAGGACTAACTGAATAAGATTATGGTTGTGCAAGAGCTAATGACACCTGAGAAGTGGGAGGGACCTCCGGGAATAAAAACACTCTGCATCATAGGGGAAATAATGCATTAAATGAAGATGCAGCCTACAAAATAAGTCTGTCTGTGTGTATGTGTGTGTTTACAACTCTGCAACTGACAGAATATTGATACCTAGAATTCACAAAGAACTAAAAACACAGAATAACAAGAAACCAAACCACTCAGTAAAGAGGCAAATGAAAAGACAGACTATTTTCAAAAAGTGATTTATAAATGTTTAAGAAACAAAAAGAAAATATGAGTGTCACTAGCCATAAGAGAAATGTAAATCAAAATTCTATTAATATTCTATCTATCCCTGTCAAAACAGGGATATTGCAGTCCCTAGCAATAATGTAAACAAAAAGGAACCCTAATACAAGTGTGGGAATATACCTAGAGGAGCCATTGTGGGAAATCAGTATAGTGGTACCTCAAAACATACACACAAAAAGAAACACATCTACCACATGGTCTAGCTACACCACTCCTGGGTATCACCTCCAAATCATCACAGTTGTTTATAAGGCTAAATGAAATGCCCATCACCAGAAGAATAGATGAGACAAATGTGATACACAGGCATAATGGAAATTTTTAGTTATGAAGGAAAAATGAAGTCAACCATTTACAGAAAAATGGGTGCAACTGGAGATAGTCAGTCACTTATGGAGAAACATCCCATTTGCTTTCATTGGTGGGTTGTAGACTTTATAAAGATACATACAGTCATGTACAAATATTTAAGATGAAAATAGAAGCAAAGCTGTCTTGGGGAACAAAGAAGAGAAAGGAGAAGACAGGGAGGGTGAAGAAGAACACAACAGACCTGAGTGAAAATTCTCTCATGTAACCCAGCACCAGTACATGAACATGTGTCAGTGACAAAAAAAAAAATATTTAAAAAAACAACAGGTAAAAACCTAAATAATGGCAGGCAGTGTCTTCTGTCCCCCATTATTTCTACAATACTGAAGAGAGCAAGAAGACAAAGCAGGTTGGAGGGAGCAACAGAGTGCACCATCCTCTTCTTCAGAGGCACAACATCAACACAAAACATCCCTGATACCTGAAATGCTCTACTTATGCTTTCAGTCTAGAAGCTACAAGAAGAAAAAGGGACACTCACCAATTCCAGCACTTGAGGAGACTCTTCACAGTTTACAGCCCCTTCCATCACAGCCCCACCACCGCCTCCCTTGGTTCCGTTTGCTTGCTTTGGCTTTCTTACTTATTTGTTTCAACTTATTTGAATTTGTTCTTCTTTTGGCAAATATCAGATAATATGAGAAACTACCCTGCTCATTATAGTCACACGTTTGTTTTTTGTTTGTTTCTTTGTTTTTGCTTTATACAGGTTGTAAATATATCTATGAGGGTAAAATGTTTGGCTAAAGACACATTCCAGAATATTCCCATGAATTTTTCTGAGGTATGGCTACAGAAATTATAAAACAGATACTATACCATTTCTAGTAGACTATCATCACACAGCAAACTCACCAAGTTTTTGAGGTTGACATCAGCATTTCTTCTTAAAAGGAAGGAGACAATTCTCATGTGTCCTCGCCTGCAGGCACAGATGAGGGGAGTGTCTCCATTGAAGCCATCTTGAACATCCACGTAATGATTGTCTTCTTTTACCCACCGCCACACCTGCCCCAAGTCATTCTGGTAGGCTGCCTGGCAGATGGGCTGAGTGAAGAAGAACAGAACACTTTCTGAAATGCAAGCATGAGCCACCAAGAACAACAACAACAAAAACAACAACCACTACTCTAAGTCTAGGATATGTCCATGAAGATCTGTTTACCTTTCCCAAAATTGCTTGCCGCGTGGAACAGGCAGAATAGAAGTGAATGAATGAGTACATAGATGGGTGAGATACTAAGAATCTCATTCACTAAGAAAGTTTTTATATCATGACTGAAAATTGAGAAATTTCCAGAAAAAAATAGCAAAATCTGGCTCAAATAGAATGCATTGGAGAAGGAAAGAGTTGAGGGCAACAGTGGGTGATAAAAACTCCACATGACTTTCTCTGCAGTGTGTAGAGGCACGTGCCACCAAGCCTGATGATCTGGGTTCTAACCTAGGAACCCACAAGGAAGAATTAGAAAGCCAACTTCTGCAAGCTGTCCTCTGCCCTCTACACCTGCAGTGTAGCATAGGCATGCTCACGCATACTCAAAAATAAGCAAATATAAAAAAGAATAAATGATGAACTCCAGACTTCTGCCTTTAAAAGCAGATGAACACAGTGTCTCTCCAGGAGACATCTAGACCCTGATCTCATCTGGGACTATATCCTTGAATCTTCCTTTTTGCTTTTGTTAGCTGGCATCAAATTCCTTGAGCTTAGTTGGCTCTGGCCTCCCAGGCTCTGAAACCTATCAATTGCCATAGTGGGATTTTTCAGCATCTGATTGTGTAAGCTAATCTAATGAAAAGTCCCTTAAAAATTATGGATGCATTCTATTGGCTCTGTGCTCTGGAGAACTGGGTCTTCTCTGAAGAGACTGGGAGCAGGTAACTTTGAAGATATATTCTCTTGTCAAATTTTTAAATCACTTTACAACAGTTTACCTTCTTACTTCTCTTTAAATTGTTATAGATTTCATAATACTGAACCATATTCCAAAGAGGACACCAGCTAACTAGTGATTAGTAGCTGTTGTTTCCAGTTCTCTACAGTTTCCACAACTCCCCATTACACCACACCTAGTCCATTTCAACTATCCATGGCCTGGCTGGCTCCTACTTCCAAGATCAAAATTCCTCTTCCTTGTAACACAAAAATTAAAAGAACCCAGAATTGGTATTGGGTTCAAGCTTCAAGCTGAAGATCAGAAAAGCAAAGCAGCCAGCCCAGGCTGAAATGGCTGATCCTGTCTCCACCAGCTCTCATGAAGCCTCAGATTGTAACCTCTCCTCAGTGTGGCTGGTGAATCCTGAGAATTTACTGTCTTCCTATCCTCAATGTGATTGGAGAATGAATGCCAGCTTTGAGACCCTGTTCCTGTCATAAACACCTCTCCTGAGTCCTGGGATTAAAGTTGTGTGATCCCAAATACTGAGATTATCTTTATGTGAGCTGTTGCTGGATACATATTTATGTAGGTCAGTGTGGCCTTGAATTAACAGAGATATGTCTACTTCTATCTCCCAAGCGGTGGGATTAAATTCTGATCTCTATAGCTTGTGGCTGACTTTGCTTGTTTCTTGCCTAACCAAAGGCTTTTACACGGTGGGGATAAGCAACAATAACTTCTAATAGAAAACACTTGAACTGAAGCCATGCCCCGCTGTTTCTCACTGTTTCCAGTAGGAGGCACCTTGGAGTCAGAAAAGCCCACAGGCAGTGGAGAGCATTTCACTAGGGAAGTGGCCTGTTAGTACTTGCTAAAGAGGGGTTCAGAGGTTCCCAACATAAGAAAATGACAAATGTATAGAGATGGAGTCGACGCCCTGACTTTGTCACTATTTATTGCTCAATAGTCAATTTTTTTCCATTGTACTTCTTAAATGTGCAGTGCATGTTATGGCAGGTAAGAAAATAATTAAAATAAAGAAAAGTTCTGATAAAGTAGAAAGTAAACAAGAAGAGGGAGGTATCCTTTTGGGAAGAAAGAAAAGCTGTTCTGGATTACTGAGGCTCATGGAACCCAGAGGCACTTTAGATCAGAGTAGTCACACCTGGAAAATTACCTCTAAAACTAAATTTCTCTGTATGCCCAGCACCAACTCTTCAGGGCCCATACCAGGGTTCAGATCCTCATTGCTCTCTACCTGTGACTGTGTTATCTCTCTTTGTTTCACCTACCCATTCTTCTGCTCATCACATCCCTGCTGAAGACCTTCCATGACCAATTGGATCAGGATGCTGCCCTTAAGTAGATACAGCTGCTTCTTGATTCTCACATATCCCGTCTTTCTAACTACCGGTACCCATCCCTTTGGTCCAAGTAAATAAAACCTCTTTGCTATGGTTTGAATGTATCCTTCACAGTTTCTGTATTAGAAATATGATCCCATTGTGGTAGTTTGAATGTAATGGGCCCCCATAATCTCATAGGGACTGGCACTATTAGGAGGTGTGGCTTTGTTGGAGTGGGTATGGCCTTGTTGGAGGAAGTGCGTCTGTGGGGGTGAGCTTTAAGGGTTCCTATGCTCAGGATACCACTGAGTGCCACAGACAACTTCCTGTTGCCTGCAAGAGGCAGAACTTTCCGTTATTTCTCCAGCACCACATCTGTCTGCATGCCACCATGCTTCCCACCATGATGATAATGGACTGAACCTCTGAAACTGTAAACAATAAATTTTTCCTCTATAAGAGTTGCTGTGGTCATGGTGTCTCTGCACAGCAATACAAACCCTAAGACACCTAGTATAGTGATGCTGAGTGGTGGACACAAATACCAGGTTTTTGAATCTCAAGGACACGATTATCATGGACTAGTACTATTACTTCATGAATGCATTGCTTATTTTGGGCAGTGGATTCCTTATATTTTAAAAGGTTAAATCTGATTCTGGTTTGTTCTCTTACCACCCTCCCTTTGCCTTTCAGCCATGAAGCAATGTAACCCTAACCAATTACAATGGGACCCTCACCAAGTACTGACCCTCAATCTTACACTTCTTTCTTTATCTAATGGTGATCCAATACATTATAAATTATTGTCTGTAATTGTCACATCACCTAAAACAGACCACCAGTGTTACTGTCAGTCATCTTTCTCCAACTAGTCCACTAGCAACATGAGAGCAATTATCGTTGTCTACATTTTCTCATTGCATTCCAGCACCGAGTACAGTGTGCGACACCTCATGGGCACTGAACCTATACTTCATGAGTAAATAAATCAATGAGTGATTTATAACATGAACAGAGATTTATGGAGTGCCTCAGCTATTCCCAAAGTCCTCAAAATTACCCTATAAGGTAAGTATTATTCTTTATATTAACTACACACTTGTGGAAGTAGAAGAGATTGTCTCTGTATCCCAAGTCACATAGCTCATAAGTGATAGAGCCATGAGCCAAATTATGGAGCGTAACTGTCATCCATTCTGCCTCTAAATACTTTCATCTCAAGTATTTCTCTGACTGCAGAACTTGCTGCCAACAGTAATCTATAGTTTGCACCATCAGGATTTTGATCAGCCTTCTTATACCACTGACCTGCTAAAGTGTTTGGCTATATATTCAAATGCTTTCTAAAAACTGACCTAGAATTATCAGTATCTGAGGTAAAAAAGAAATGCTGGGTATGAAAGCATCTATCTGCCTGTAATCCCAGGACTCGGGATACAGAAGCAGGAAGAGCAAGAGTTCAAACTAGACTCGATTCCGTAATAAATTTGAGCTCAACCTAGCTAGACAAAAAGACCTGTTAAAAACAAACAAACAAACAAACAAAAAATATCCTGTAGTAGAAATCTAAAAGAGACACAACCTAACAGCAAATTATGAAAAAGGAAAGATTTAAGTGTGATACTCATCATGCAATCATCAGTTTCACATGACAAGGCAGGAACTGTTTTTGAACAACTAGAATCAGGGAGAAAAAGTCACAGTAACTGCAGCAGGGAGAACAACCAGAAAAACTAGTGAGTATGTAGCACATGGGGTCCAACCAGAATCCTGCACATTTTGGTGAAAAACGGTGCTTTGGCTGTGAACAACCAGTGTTCTAATCTTCACTCTCCCACTTAGCAAAGGTGTTATTTGGACAGTTCACCTGAACACTTCAAACATGTGTGCTGAGTTTTCTGGGTCCACTAACCTTCTGCATAATGCTATAGAAAGAATTAAACCCGACTGTGGACGAAGCATTTTGTTAGGGGCTGACTCATCCGAAACCCTCAATTAGTGCTAGATACTTTTCTAATTATTGAAGCATAAGGATCCAATTAAGATGAGCAGAAGTGGTTATGAAATAGAATATGATTGCTGAAAGAGAGTGCAGAAATAACAGGACAGGGCAAATGGATTTGCATGATGACCCAGAAGGAAAATTCTGGCCCCAAAGCCAAAGCAATGGAAGAAGGACAGGTAAACTCATAAACAGAGCTGCAGCATGGCTGAAGTATCTTGCCAGAAAAATCTGGTTTGGTTACCTCACATTATTTTAATAAGTATTTGTCATAAGTATATGGACTGGTAAACATAGCTAGGCAAAGGAATATAACATTGATGTTTGCCTAAATGAATGGGTTTGTGACATAGGCGACAGGGTGGAGGCAAGGGTAGAGAGACTGAAACATGGGGCAGGGAATTGGCGCATTCTAATGACTACTGTCTGTTGTCTGTTTGGGCTGAATGAAAACATGGGATGGCTTTAATCATCAAGTGTGGAATCACAGTCATAAAAGGACAGCTGGCTGAGTTATGTGGCAGTTTCTTCAGCAAATCTATGGTTGAAGAAGGATGGAGTGAAGGAGCCCAGAACAAAAGCTGGGAAACCTGTCTGTCAGCTGGGCAAGTGCTGGTTTACCACCTCACACATAAAGTGGCAATATGGAGAAGTGTGGACTTGAAAGAAAGAAACCAGCAGAGGGATTGAGAGAAAAGTTAGACACGTGGTCTAGAAGGAAGAATGGCAAATCTGTGGGGTGTTTTTTTTTTTGTTTGTTTGTTTGTTTGTTTTGTTTTGTTTTTTTTGTTTGTTTTAATATATTCTCATTTGGGAATGAACAAATCTCTGAAAAACTGGTTGAATTATGGTGGCATGTCCCTGGGGCCCCATGCAAGCTTAGGTCTCATTTCCCACCCAGTGACAGCCTGTCCCTTCAGTTAGTGTCCTGCAAAGTTCCCCATGTGTTCACAAAGAACTAAAAGCATTTCCTGTGACAGTTGTTAATCCTCTTGACTTTGGTACAAGTGCTTAACTGAGTGTCCAAAACTGTCATTCTTTTTGGAGATCTACACATTCATTTCAATGTGATAGCCATAAGGGCTTTTTGTTTGTTTTGTTTCAGTTTTCTATTAAAATGGTTTCTGAACCTGGTGTGGTGCTAATCTCAGCTCTCAGGAGGCAGAGGCAGGAGGATCTCTGTGAGTTTGAGGCCAGCCTGGTCTCCAAAGTGAGTTCCAGGACAGCTAGGGCTATTACTCAGAGAAACCCTGACTCAAAAATAATTTTAAAAAAATGCTTTTTGATGATGGAATGGAAAGATGTGCTCAGATGCCTGCAAGCATGAAGACGTCAACCCCATCTTCACAATCCATTTCAAAGAAAGATAAGTTTGATGGTACACATTTGTCATACCAGTCCTGGGGAGGTGAGGCAGCAGATATCTGCGTGTCTCTAGCCATCCAGCCAAACATAAACAGACAGCCCCTGGCCAGTAAAAGACTGTGATTCTAAAGATAGTGAGTAAACAACTCCTGAGGAACAATACCCAAAGCTGTTCTCTGGCCTTCCTGTGTACATGCACCATTTAACACACACACACACACACACACACACACACACACACACATACACACACATACACACACACACACACACACACACACAGAGAGAGAGAGAGATATGATAAGAGATGTTACCAATGAACTTTGTCCAAGAAAGAAAATTTGAATAGCCATACTGTGACAGACTGGGTGTCAAGACAGAGGCCAAAAAAAGAAAAGGGAGATGTAGGTTTTAAGGTCACTGTTCAGAGAACAGAAAGAAATATGAAATCGTGTTTTAAGAGTTTGGAAGTAGATTTGGCGTAGTTTGGAGTATTTGAGACAAAAATGACACAAAGGTAGAGAAAGGGCCATAAGCAAAAGAGTTCAAGAAAGTGATCACACACACACAACATACACACACACACACACACACACACACACACACACACACACACACACACACCTCTGGCAATAGTGAGCCCAGAAGGAGCTGAAACAGCTGTTACATAAGAATATGATGATGCCTGACCAAAGCCACAAGTTATTGAAGACACAAAAAAAGAGAAGAGATACACTAATAGGAGGACGAGAAATATTTGCTAACAGTATGCTTGTGTTATATGCTGGCTCACATGGCCTAGTCTGCAATCTGCAGATGGTACTACCTACAGCCATGCTACACAGTTTCAAGGTAGCATATAGAATTACTGAAACCTAAGCTGGGTTTTCTCTTAAACTCATCCACTACTCCTCTTCATGTTTACAACATCCCAACTGTTCTTGAATATTCTATATTCTTGCCTGTTTTCAGGTCTTCACATTCCTTGGGATATATAAGGCAGTCTGGCAGTCTTAGCAACATGGTGAGCCACAAGAGGAAGCAGGCATTTTCTCTGCTATAGGATGGACTAGGAGACAAGGAGGATTCTGGGAGATGTCAAGTACAGACTTGAGAGAGTAGAGGTCCAGACCCTCTCTCCGGTAAGATAAGACCACGTGGAAATACTTAGATTGTTAGAAATGGGTTAGTATTTAAAACAGAGCTAGCTAATAAGAAATGCTAGTAACTGGCCAACAGCTTTGTATCTAATGCAGTGCCTCTGTGTGTTATTTGGGGCTGATGTGGCTGTGGGACCAGGCTGGTGGGAAAACTGCTCATAACAGTGAAGTATCCAATACATATACATTTTTAATTTCCAGAGTCTCTGTGTGAGCCAGTAGAATGGAACACTGCCCTTCTTCGAGAACTCCTATCTTCATTAGGCCATCCCTGCTATTTCCAGGTTACCTGCTCATTATCCTTCTGCCTTTCAGACTGTGCTGTTTTTCCCTCTCAAGGCCATTTCACAGAAAGCCCTTCAGCATTCCCTACAGCACAAGTGCCAAGAACCACAAGTAGCTCCCAGACAATGGAGATGGTTGAGTCTCCTTAACTAAACCGCTGTTTTCCTAAACGTAGACTTCTGTAGGGGTGTGTGCCTAGAACATGGATGAAAAATCCTTTCTTGACTGAAGACCACCTGATCTGCCTGAAAAGTGACAGTTAGGAGAAGAGATTGAAGTTTAGAAACTAATAGAATGTCTGAGAATTAGATCAGTGTTTGAACTCTGTGATTATAAACCCTGGTTAAGTATTGTGGCATTTTAAAACATGGCTCAGGTCCCACTATTGACCCATTAGTTCAGAATATTTGGGAATCTGATGAAAGCACTGTGTCTGTCTCAAAATTCTTCAGGAGATGTTGATGCACAGGCATGTGGAGGAACCCTGCAAGGTGAGCAAAACAACTTCCATAACGGAAATGAGCAATAACAGAGTACTACAGCTTGTAAACTCTTGCTAGCAGAGGACTATTCAACCATTCAACTGAGTTATATCCCCAGCCCTGGTATCAAATGGAAATTTCTCTCCTGACATCAAAGAGAGATTCTACAAGCTGAGAAAGCAGTTGCCAAAAACAACAACAACACTGTATTTCTTCAGTGACTAAGATTTCCTCCATGATTCGAGAGCTTCAGATTGCCAATCCTGAAACAGACTACTAAGAAAAATAACAGGGAAGAGCCTAAAAGCTGCCTCCTCTTGCAAGACAGCAACAGCAGTATTTGTTTCAAGCATCTGCCACACATTTTTGTGATTAACATTAATCTTGAGCTTGTATAATTACCTACAAGACCCTTTCATGGTATTTGTGTATGGGCATACTTTAGATTCCATAGGAAGTATCATGTTAATATATGTTACTTCCCAGCCCTATTTATTCCCTTGGCAGTGAACTAAATAAATCTTTCTTAAAAAAAAAAAAAAAAAAACAGGATAGTAAATAAAAAGAAAACTCCGATTCATTTTGTTCTTAAGATGGCTGAAGAGTTAAACATTTATGTTACTTTGCAAAGTATTCTCACCTCTTCTTGGAAGTAGTCAAACATGCCTGACCTGTCCTGTACTTGCCTTGACTCACCTGCTTGACAAATCAACACCAAACTGACAGGCAATCACACTGCTTTGGTCTCTAGACACTTACAAACCACAGCTATTCTCATGAGCAAGGCTACTCCCAGTACGATTTAAGGGACCATACATGGAATTAGAGGGTCAAATGCATGATCCTAATCTGCATTTGCACAAGACTTGGGTTATCTCCATGCAAATAAGAGTCTGAAAGTTACCCTCCTTGAGCAAGAGTTCTGTCTTTCAGGACAGTGAGCTAGTCACACCCACCAGAGTTATCTGGGATTCCCCTCTTCAAAGTTAGTTTTCTGAATCATTCATGAGCTGAATCAGAACTCTGGAGTGGCTGTCCTAGAAACTTCACTCTAAACAAATTTCTCTTGCTGACCCTTAGATAATTTACCAGAGTGGAACCTTAATATACTGTATATTTTTGTCTTCCTCATATATATATGACCTCTTCATGAGATCAAGATCACTGAGCAAGACATTCCCAGAATGGGAAGATTAGTCAAGAAACACACATACCTACACACACCCTCACACACTCATGCTCACTCACACACATTCATGCTCACCCATGCACATTTGAAGCAGGTGCCAAACAACTGCCTTTCATACTCAAAGGTCAAAATCAAAGAGGTTCCCCTGAGCTTGGAGAATGGAATGCAAGTTAGCAACTTAATTGTGTCAGAGAGGGAGTAAGTTGTGACTAATAGTAATAGTAATAATAATAACATCATTGTGTCTCGATACTCTTGTTCAAACATCATCCTTTGAAATATTACAAATGTATTTGTTTATAGTAAGCTACTTTCAATGTGGGAAAATGTCATGTCTATCAGCTATGAAAAGGAAATAATCAAAATGTCAAAGCTTATACTTCCTGTCATCTCTTCTATATAGTAATAACCTGTATTATTAATTGCCAGAGGGGAACTTCCTTTCACATAACAAGCTTAAACGTGTTACTCTGTTCATGGCTTCCATAGAAAAGCCTGACACTTTGGGGCTTTTTTAAAAATCTGGTTAGGTACAAGTTTCTCTTGTCCTCCCGTTTTAACCAAGACACAATATAGCTGTAACTCCATTTTTCAAGGTTTGTATGACCTCTGAAATTAGGATGTCAGAAAACATAAATCCCATCATGCTCAACTCAGGTCTAGCTACAACTTTAGTATTTCAAACTACTTGTTTAAAATACTACAAAATACTAAATATCCTAGCACACAGGAACTTCCCTGACTTAATAATACTCACCAGGAAAATTAAACAGAATTGAAAAGAAGACATAATAACAGGGGTAGAAAATTGTGTGTGAAAAATGTGGGCATTTTTTTTAAGCTCCTTTGGATCTCTATGTTCCAAAATAGGACATACCTCAGAATATAGGATTCCCATGCCGGTCCTTCCTGGGTTTGCTCCCCCTCGACGTGCAGCAGTGAATCTTCTGGAAGTGTTTTTTAATTAACATTAAATTTCTTCCCAGAAAGAAATGTCCCTGGAAGTCCAAGGTGGTGGCGAGCCCTCTCTTTCCACACCTGGGAGTGCTTTCCCAGCCGCCTGTGACAGCAACACTCCTTGTAGAGAGACCGGCTGGTGAAGCAAAGGCATTGACTTACCAGGTAATGATCCCAGAGCTGTATCATTATCACAGCCAGGGGAACCGGTTTCTGAGTCATGTGTGCTCTGCCAGGTGAGGCCTCTGATAAAGAAGGAAACAAAAGTGGTGTGCTGAGAGGAGGGACTTCTCAAATTAGCAGAAAGAGTTCAAAATAGGACACTGTGTTCAGCAAATTCCTTAATTGAAATCTAGCATCCAGTGGCCATTATGGTCAGCCAACACATTAGTGAGAGTCCTGGGGTCTGCTTGGACAAATAATCCCCAAATTCCTTAAAACTCATTGCTAACAGGTAATACCTTTCCCTGGCCACTTAGAGTCCTATAAGCTAGCTAATGAATGAAATTTAACTTATTGATGTCTAATTTTAATTGATACATGGTAATTACATACACTTACATGCAGCACTGTGCGATAATTCAAAACAAGGATTATATATAATGGTTAAATAAGAGTAATTGGCATTCACACAGGTTTCAGTGTTAATTCCTGTGTGTTGAGAACCTTCAAAGTCCTCTCTGCTACTCCTTTATGAGAATAGAATGAATACCAAGTCACTCTTGTACTGTGGAACACTAAGGCTGACTCTTTCTTTAACTCTATTATGATACTGGTTACTCAACCTTCTCCATCCCCACTAACACCTTCCCAGCCTGCAGCGGTCGGTCACTAGTTTACTCTCTTATTATGGTGTTGTGGAAACCAGCCAGCGCCTGCTCTAAGTTCTCTTGACTTGTGTAAAACTGCCTTGCCCAAGAGACATCATTTTACAAGCATCATGTGACTCCACTGTGAGAACAGTGATTGGCTGTTCATCTTGCTGGACACATAAGCAACACCATTCACCCAATTCCACCTGAGAGGTGCAAATTGGTAAGTAGCTTATTCCTAAAAGGAAGAAAGTTGTCACCATATACAGTGGTCATCGTAATCTGGGACTGCAGAAGCACATGGGTGTATCTAGATCGTGGCATTGAGACGGGTCTGAGGACTTAGCAGACATTCCAAACCGAGGAATGGAAGCAGCTCTCTCACGAGGACTAATGGTGATAGCCCACAGACCATTCATCTGACCTCCTGCCATGTTCATCAACAGACCAAGAGAAAAGAACTCATGTCTGCCCCCAAGACCTCAGCTCAGTTCAGTCTCTATGCTTGATGCGGCCAACCTCAAATTTCTACCCATCCATCTCCTGGTTCCTTCGTTCCCTCTCCACTCACTGTAGTCCAAGTCCCATGTCTTATTTCTGAAGCTTTGCTCTGCCCCCACAGCCTTGTCTACGTCTACCACCACCATCCACCATCATTGCAGCAGCCACAGTATCTCCAGCAGAATGACTGCTTCCTTATGCCTGCACAAACTCTCTGATAGCAGAGATACATGTGTGATGTAGAATGTGTGATCTGAGAGTGAGTAGTAATAATTAAGATTGGAGTAAGATCATCTGTGCTTGATCTCATGGAGCAGGGGAACTTTTTGGCAAATTGCTGCAAATAGAACTAATCTATCTTGTGAATTCATTGTTATAATGAAGAATGACATTGCAGAAAGACACAAATGTGTTCATCCATGTTTCTAACGTAATATGCTTATGATACATGAAAATTCCTTGTTATTTTAAATGGCTCAATATTGTTTCTAAAATCAATTATATATCTAAAAATTGACTCATCAATTATTTTGTCAAACATGCTAATATGACAAATCCCTTATTATAGTAAACATTTTATGTGCTGTGTATAGTACCAATTATCCACATTTTCTCTTAAAAGTACTGCTTTGCATTTTTCCAGAATCAAACACCCACATTTTCCCACACAGCCATGTAAGAGACAGTGCAACAATCTCAAGTTGATTGATATGGTTTTCCCAATCATCTGAGGATTTTTACAGGTCAAAGGGGTCTGTTCCTATACCTATTTAGGAAAACTCGTGAATTCCATCGATGGACATATTGAAACTTGAAAAGTAGGGGTTTTGTTAGTTTCTGCAGTACAAGTGGATCCAAGCTAGAGCTTCATGTGTGCTAGGCAAGTACTCTACCACTGAACTATATTCTTAGCCTCTTGACTTATCTTAATGATTGTTATAAGAAGAATTATCTCCCTCTGCTCTGAAGTTGCCCTTGGGAAGCCGGCCTCCCACGTGTTTAAGAATTACTTAATTCTTAGAGGAAACAGATGCCTGCAATACCCACCAACATTGCGGCTGACTTCCTCTTCAGCTTGGTTTGATTTTTGCATTTCTTTTGTTTTCTAATTCATCCTCTGTCTACTGGAAAGGGCATTCTCTGAAGCAAACCTTTTGTAACCCTGTAAGGACCCATTTTGTAGCTCCTATGTTGTTCTCCTTTGTTTCCTAAACGTTTAAGCATCTTATCATTGGCTTAGGAAAAAAAAACAAAACAACAACAAAAATTCATTCACCCTTTCTCCCCTGGGTAACCCTGTAACAATGCCTTTTAGATTCTTTCAAATAATTTGTGAAGAATTCTTCATTTCCCTGCCCCACTGCCAAGGCTGCTGTGAACTCTGCAGCTAAGCTTTCCTCTCTGAATGAACATGAAAGGTTTATTGAAGTGATTTTCTATGAGCACCACAGTTCACCTATCTGGAGTCTCCATGCTTTGTTGATGCCATCTAGTTTGAAAGGAACTGTACACTTTTCATTATAACCATAAAAGAAGTAACTGTTTTGATGTGGGATTAACTCTGAAAAAAAAAAAAATGAAAAGATCCACTACAATTTGTAAAAATACATTAACTCTAGGTCACTAGATCTCAGCCATAGTGAAAGACAAAAAAGTAAAGTTAAGGACAGACTAATCTGGAAAGCTAACCCAGACCAATATCTGTTCCTTAGAATTTGCTAACTTTCTCCTCACAAGGCCCTGAGATAACAAGATACCAACAATTCACACTGCCCTCCTTTCCTGTGAGTCAGCAGGTGGTAAATAGGGTCCTTAAGAAACAAAGAGATAACTGCACTTCCGGTTTGCCCAGACAAGATTAATTAGCACACCCTGAGGCCCTAAGGTTTGTTGACCCTAATAGTAAGACCATCCAGCCTCAAAGGGTCACATACTCAATGGATAGAGGGTCCCACCCTCTCCCTAAGCTTGTGGGTTCTGCCTTTAAAAATACCTGTGCGGGGATTGTGCTTGATTGTGCTTCTCTCTAGCCTGCGTGCTGGAGGAGCCCGTTTGCGCAAACGTTTCCTGTTCATTAAAGCCTCTTGTGTGTTGCAGCAACTGGACTGGACATTGAGTTCTTGGGGATACCGACCAAAACTGGGAGACTCCTCACTCTGAGGATCTTACAATAGGACTACCAGATTTGTTGAATTAAATTTAAACTTCAACTGTTCTGAAATTATATGGAACATGTTATACTAAAAGGTGCTCCATTGTTTCACTAAAAACTAAGGATCTTTGGCAATTCCTGAAGATACATTAATGTCACACCTAGAGCTTGGGAGGTTTCTCTATGGCAGGTGGAGGCCAAGGACATTGTTGAGCATCCCACAGCACATGAAACAGCTCTTCACTGCAACGTCTATCTAGCCCACAACAATGGCCAGGTAGAGTAGTCTAGGTCTAAACTAATGAGTCAGAGATAAAGAACAAGGATTTGAACAGTGATGATGTTAGAAAATAAAATAGAAAACTGATCTCATAATAAAACCTGCTAAAATCATAACTATTACAGAAGCATGAGAGTTTCACTTTTCCACTGAGCCCTTTAGTACAAAGTCATATGAGAAAAAGAAGTTCTAGAAATATTTTCTGTCAAGGAATAATGTCTGAATTCAACACTAAGGTCTTTAAGTTAGAAGCTTCCATCTGGTCCTATCTATAACAGAGGACAACCTTGGCTCTCCAACCAGCTCACCCTGAGGGAAGGCAGGCTCCTGTAAGCTGTGTGGTACAGACTTCCCCAAGAGAAGTTTAGTAGAGTGCCCACAGATACAAAGGTTTTTCGGGAGTTCTCCAGCATTGTCTAATGGCTCCCACTGGAAGAGAGTAAGTCCAAAAATGTGGTGATCAAAAATTATTTATCTCAGTAAAGCTGAATCTGGCTACTGTGTCAGAGTGTATGCAAAGCTACTTCTTTCAACAAATCTCTTTCTTGTGGATGACCTATAGTTTGTCTTTTAACTGCAAATTAAGTATAGGATCCAGAGGACAAATTGCAATAATAAACACTGATTTGCCTCCTTTTACAAAGCAAACTGAGGGGCCGGAGAAATGGCTCAGCAGTTAAGAGCACTGACTGCTCTTCCAGAGGACCTGGATTCAATTCCCTGCACCCACATGGCAGCTTACAACTGTCTGTTACTCCAGCTCCAGAGGATCAGGCACCCCTACACAGACATACATGCAGGCAAAACACCAATGCACATAAAAATAAATAAATCTAATTTAAAAAAAAAAAGCAAACAGACACAATGCCATTTTAAATACTTCATTTAAACACTGAACCTGGTGGTATATGCAAGTAAGCCCAGGTTCTCAGGAGACTAAAACAGAATAATAATAAGTTCAAAGCCAGCCTTACACAGATGCAAAGTGAATTGAGGTCATCCCGTGAAAAGTACAAGATGAGACTTATAATAATTATAAAATGTTTGGCCAATGGCTTAGGTTTCTTATTGTCTAGTTCTCTCTTAATTATTAACCCATTCTATTATTCTATGTATTTTCATGTGGTCTTGGCTTACCAGAGAATGCATAGGTATCCTACCTTCCTGGTAACTATATGGCATCTCTCTGGCAACCCACTCTCTCTGTTCCTCCTCCCATATTTCCTGCCTGGTTACATCCTGCCTGTCTATTGGCTGAAACACTTCATTCATCAACCAGTAAGATAAACATACAGAAGGGCATGCCCCATCAGGT